CAGGATTTGCTTTCATTTACATGGATGATGAAAGAGATGCAGAGGATGCAATTCGGGCCCTTGACAGAACTGAGTTTGGCAGACAGGGGCGACGGCTTCGTGTTGAGTGGACAAAGGTACATAACTTCATAAGTTTTTTACTTATGGCTTATTATTTTAGTTTAATATTATTTTAAGCTTAATGACAGCAAGAGCGTGGTGGTAGATCTGCCAGTTCAAGAAGGTCTCCTTCTAACATGAGGCCCACAAAGACTTTGTTTGTCATAAACTTTGATCCAATCAATACCAGAATGAGAGACTTGGAGAGGCACTTTGAACCGTATGGAAAAATCTCAAATGTTAGGATCAGAAGAAACTTTGCATTTATTCACTTTGAGTTGCAGGAGGATGCCACTAAAGCTTTGGAGGCAACAAATATGAGGTGCTTTCTTTCTTTTCCAAGTTCAGCTTTTTGGTGTAGCATGAATTGTCAGCAATATACAAAGTCATTTCCTGCAATATGGTTGGCTGTTTCTGCGAATCAACTTTATAATGATGCACATGACTTTGTTGTTTGTCCAGCAGTTTTCTTTTCATAAGACCAGAGATTCAATGATCCACAGGAGTATCTCTTGTGGCATTTGATGGTTTTGATTATCCTTCACTATATCTTGATTAGTTTTCACATCATTGCCAATGAAGCAACGATGTTGATGAAATTTTGTAGCGTATTTTTTGCTGGCCCCAGATCACCTGCTCTGGTATTTCTAAGTTGAAGTATGAAATAACTTCTTTATTGTTTCTTTCAATGATAAGGTTGAAACAGAATGTTTCTCCTATGCGATTTAGGTGTTTTGGGTTGAAGTCACAGAAATATCCTCTCTCTCTCTCTCTCTCTCTCTATATATATATATATATATATATATATATATACATACATACATACGTAAGGTCGCCTACAGTAATCTTTCCACACACCCACATTGGTAGGAGTGTTCTGCACTGAGTTCTTGCTTTTATTTTTTCTTTCTTTCAATGCTTGCACTATTAGTCGCATGGGAATAGTTATCAAGAGTTCTGGAATTTTTTGGTATTGATCTTTTCCAGTAGTTAGTTTTCAGGCCATACATTAAATAAATGTTTACATTTGCTAAGAGCACTGAGTAGCACCTCGGTTCAGATGAACTTGGAGGTTCTATCATTGGGTAGATGAATTGTGATGCATCTTGGTAGCTTTTAGCTGATTGCATGAACGAACCTAGTAGTTGGGAGGCTTGTTGTCCTTGCAAATTTTTTAGTTTTTTTCTTAGAGGATGATGATCTCTGTCAATTATCTGTCAATAGTTTTAGCGCATAGCTTATGAGGTGCTTTACAAGAAAGTCTAGGTTGGAGTTCTTTAGATTGGCATACAATATGTAAAATTTGCATATGAATATTTTTTCAAACAGATTTCTCTGACGATAAGGATACCAGGAAACTTGTGTCACTTGTCTTCATGTTTAGGTTACAGCAACATAACCTTAATGTATTCATGTGGTTATTTTCATGCAACACAATGAAACGGATAACTCAAAATGTGCCTTGCTCTGTATTCATCTTGTCTTTCTCTTGAGTTTGTAGCAAATTAATGGATCGGGTCATTTCGGTGGAGTATGCACTTCGTGACGATGATGACAAAAGAAATGGGTACAGCCCTGACAGGAGAGGCAGGGAGAGATCCCTGGAAAGGAGAGGCCGTGACACACGGCGTTCTCCAAGCCCATATGGCAGAGGCAGGGAGAGGGACAGTCCTGATTATGGGCGTGGTCCGAGTCCATATAACAAACCCGAGCAAAGGGGTAGTCCTAATTACGGAAGAGATGGAAGTCCAGGGTATGAGAGGTACCCCAGGTTTGTATCATTCAGAGATTGCCATCATGTATTGCTTGGACCCTCATCTGTTATGTTGTGCTAATTAGTTGTTCATCTGTTATGCAGTCAATCTCCAAGGCAGGAAGAACAATGAGGACTATTCTTTGTTCTGAGCAAGTTTGCCGCACAATTTGTGCTTATTGAACAATTGCTGTAATATCGCATTTAGAAAAATAGTGTGTGCCAAGTACTATTGGACTACTGCAATGTCCGCTCTAGAGATACTATTGGTATGCAATGATAGTATCAGTGGTCGGAGGTTGACTTGTGTTCTTTTTGAGATCAGACTCTGAGGTGCCCATCATGTCGATTAGTTTTTTTAATGCAGCATTTGTGATATCTCTTAGACTAAACATAACTTTTTAGCAGTCTCTACTTTGTTTAATTTACATTTTCATCGATTTTTTGGTGAATTCGAGATAGTAAACTATAGATCGTCATCAAGAAGTTTAAATTTGCATTCCTCCTAGTAAGTAGTTGAATTACATAACAGTGTGATGTTAATATTAGGTGTGGATCGTAATATTTCGTTTCTCCAACCCAATCATCTCCTAATTTTCTCCGCTTTTGTTAATTCTTTATCGATGATTCTCTAAAAACAATTGTTTCCCTCGACGCCTCGACTCATTTAACATTCAAAGACTGCAGGGGGAAGGTTGATGGTACAAATCGCATGTGGGTGGCCATGTACGTCCCACCAATCCAAGCAAGCAGCACATGTCCCGAGCTGTTCGAGTTTGGATTCCTTCGACACGAGGAATTCGCTGAACAGAATATATTCGGCCATATCAATGGCTTCAACATGAAGGAGAGAGTAGTAGCAGAACACGATCAACAGTTCTAAACCAAGCCATCTACATCCACCATGGACATCTGCAAAAGCGTTCCAGCTTAAAGACGTCCTTTGATGGAGCAAGTCGCCTAAAGAAAGGAAAAGGAAAAGCTAGATGCTCTGCTCGCATGGCTCTACAAACATGAACTGTTTTTGACGTAGCCTCGAATCCATGAAGCAAACAAGGTTCGCCCAATTTCTTTCTCTCTCTCTCTCTCTTTTTTTTTTTTTTTTTTTCCAAAATAAAGGTAATTTATTAAATTAAGGTCCTAATACAATCAGTGCTTATAGCATCAACACACCAAATAGACGACAGCAGATCCATCCACGGAAAAATAGATCTGGTTGAATAAGTATACCTTGTCAACCAGCAACGATTTTTCTCGCCAAAAGTATGAGAAATAAAAAAAAAAAAATCAGAAAATGTGGTAAGCAGATCAAAAATACATCTAGTTATATTATTAATAACATCCAATGGAGGCTCCTTGGTTTTTAGGAGAATATCAACAATGATTTCATCATCCATATGGACCTTTGTAATGTCGGAAATATGCAAAGCTTGTCAAAGCCCATGTTTGATCGCCTTTAGCTGAAAAAGATGGATATTCTATCCTTGCAAGCAATCTGTCTACACATAAATAAGCACCAGTACCAGTCCATTTCATTCTTCCAAATTCCTCATTCTAATGGTAAGAACCATCAGTGTCCAACTTCTCTCTCACAAGCCCTCAGTTATAACACATATATTACTTACCGGTGCTATATATATATATATATATATATATATATATAGGACAAGACAAGTAAACCTCATAAGGATGAACATGAAGAACACCTACTACAAAATAAAATACCAGAGAACGTGTAGCTGGGCAGCATTGTAGATTCTGCAAAAGCCAAGGGAGATGGTGGGATGGTCCTTTGTTTGTCCTCACTAATGTTGTCATAAGCCATTGGGACAAGATGGGGGGTCAAAAACATTTAAGAATGATAGCACATGCAAACTAATACAAGTACTCATCAACTAGCAGAGAAGGGAAGTGGAAGGATACTGGCCTTCCAACTTACAAATGAAGGATCATGTGAAGTTCATTGATTAGTCAGCCTCAAGGCACATGCTGCAAAACCAAACAAGTTCATCAGTAAGTTCTTGAGTGTATTCTGGTTCCTACTTAGTTAAATGAGATCAATTCAACAGCTCAACTAAGCACCGGTGTCATGACAAAGAGATGAAGATCCACTTGGCATACACAATAAAAGAAACCATAAAGATGGTGGTTGATTACAAGTAGGTAGTAGGTCAAGACCTTATTTCCATCAATTCACTAGTACTAAATGAAGTGGGTCAAAATGAAATAGTCTGCCTGGCTCAAAAAATATATCTTCAACAATTATGATGATACTTGGGTTTTGTTGTCGCAAATTTCTTTAGGCCGGCAAATTATTGCAGCCAGCCATCCTATTAAATTTTGTCTCAACAAAAAAAAGTCAGGCATCCCAAATGACACAAAAAAGTTATGGTAAAGAGACATTGTAGTGTGTTTTTTAAGATCAGATATCAATTGAAATTTGCCTAATTCTGACACTAGTTAGTTTTACGCTACTCTCTGCCAAAAGATGAATGAAACTTGAAGAGCGAAGCATACCTATGTCAAAAATAAATCAGAAGATCACATATATAAATTTCCAGAAATGAAAGAGCAAGAGTTACTGTGCTGCACAAGGAGAAGACCTATTGAGATTCACATAAGCCAAGAGGGACCAGTTTCAGGAACATGCTGCACAATGAACTAGCATATGAATGAATAAATGCATGACAGGACTATCATTGTTACCCCCATGGATATGATTAATCTTTAGAAGACATTAGAGAATACTGACTATTTTAACCCGTTGAAAATGATAGAAGATGTACCTGATGTAAATGAGTGGGCAAGCCAAGATTCCCTCAATATACATAATCATTGAGGTACTGGCAGGCAACACGGAGACTTGTTACCTTTACCAAATTATATCTTCTGTTTCCCTACAATAGCAGCCCATCGCCGCGACATGGATAGCCTAAAAGTTAAATCCTTCACAACAAAAAGGAACAAACATGTAATGGATGAACTAGAAGTCCTTTCTTACCTCAATTTATCACTTCAGAAAAATAAATTTGAAGGAGTAGAGTTCACATATAACATGCAGATCCGGTGGTCAGTTTGATTACAAACCTGTCAATTAGCCAGAGAAAACAGAGAAGGATATATGTTCTATTGGAGCAGCCAAACCAGGTAAACAGATTAGGAGAACAATTTCAACTCACACAACAACAATGCAGGATAATTAGAAACCGAAGAGAAATATGAGCTTCTTGAACATTTACAAGAAATAGCTGAGTCTGGATTGCAGTTTATATAGTTCTGAAAAGGCCAGAGTTAGATTAGAGTATACATCCTCCTTTCTCACTGGTTTATGTTTCAAGGAGTCAGCGAGACATGGAGCTCGTAAGTTCAAAAGCAGGGAGAACTTCAATCTATTTCCTGCTGAACAAGTTCCGCAACCTCCGTTGTTCCAATCGTTCGAGCAACTTCTTCGAACCGGGAACATTCATATCTGACAGCTTCTTGAGATAACCAATTGCACCATATGAAATCATCATTTTCTTGCATTTTTTGCTCGACGACAGAATTAGAAGGCAAGACACAGCATACTTCTTCGCTGTATTCTGAGGGCTGGGATCGAGCAACTGAACCAGATTTGGCACGCTCTTCCCATCCTTCTTAACTTCGCTACCGTTACGTGGATGGGTCATCAAGCTAGCAATCGCCTGTGCGGCAGCCTCCCTTCCACTGCTACTCTTGGCCTCGAGCATCCTTACCAGCAAGGGTATGCAACCAAACTCTCCAACAATTCTCTTGGACTCCGCCGAGCTGGAAATCTTACAAATGGCAGCTGCAGCAGCCTGCTGCGCGCCCAAAGATCCATCTTTCAACACATGCACCAGGCGAGGAAGCAGACCAAGCGAGAGGAGACTATCCATAGAAACAGATCCGACCAGATTTTTCAATGCACAAACTGCAGATTCCTGTTGTAATGGTCCATCAAGGTATGCCAGAAGGCTCCGAATTCCTCCCTCCGACACGACCAATGCCCTCAGGCTCTCGTTGCTGGAAGTCAAGTGCTGCAAACACTCAGCAGCATACTCCTTCGATCCCAACACGATTCCACGATCAAGCAGATTGATCATGACACGAACGACTCCCTCATCCACGAGACTCTGCCTGGATTCGGGCACTGCAGAGAGGTTGTTCAGCGCACCGGCAGCGGCTGACTGAGAAATGGAGTCCCCGATCAGACAGACTTCGATTAGAGGGCGAATTCCACCATGGCGAGCGATCAAACGGGCGGTGTTGGCGGACATGGACAGCCTCTGAAGCGAGATCACCGCTTTTTCTCGGGCTACCAAGCTCCCAGATTCCAGAAGCCGGATCAGCGACGGCAGCACTCCCTCGGAGACCAGCAAACTCTCGCAATTTCCCGACTCAGTGAGCAAGCACACCGCAGTTGCGGCCTTCTCCCTGACCATGGGCGAGGTGGTCGTCAATAGTAGTATCAGGGCGGAGACATTGCTTCGGCCCAAGGCCGCCACCACGCTCTTCTCGTCCTCCCTCATGGCCTCCAACAACCCATCCAAGGCCCGCAGCTTCGCCTCGGAGTGGCCGAACTGAAGGCGGGCGAGCAGCTCGCCGAGATTCGAGCTGGCGAGCTCCGCCTCGCCGGGCCGTGCGGCGCCGGCCGGAGGGAGCGCCGCCTCACCTAGGACGCCAGTCTTGACCAGAAGCCCGCAGTCACGGAGATTGAGGTCGAGCTTGCCTGACAGGGCATCGAGGTCGCTCTGCATCCGGAGCTTGCCGAGGGAGCGCCCGTCCCCATCGCAGCCGCATCGGTCGGCCAATTCGACGGCTTCGGAGAGAGTGGTGACGATGGACTGGAGCAGCTCGCGGCAGAGGGCGTGGCGGGCGAAGCAGGGGTGGCTGGAGAGGTCGGAGAGGCAGGGGGGCAGGCTCTGGAGCTTGTCGGCGATAGATTTCCACCGCCCAGCGAAGCCCTTGGCGGACCTGGCCTTCTCAATGGCGATGGGGACGAGCAGGAGGGTGCGGGAGAGCCAGTGCTCCGCGGATCCGTCGGTACCACTGTCACCGGAGTCAGCGACTGGCTCGGCCTCTTCCACCATGGCTCGGTAACGCTGTCGATCCCACTGATCCAAGCGAAGAGAGAGAGAGAGAGAGAAACTATGCCTCTTCTTTTGTTCCCAAATGGAGGAAGGAAGACGAAGACATCGGCTATCGTTAAAAACAGGGGAGAAAGTGGGATTTGGTGATGGGGATCAGCTAACAACAGGAGGTAGCAACAGAGGCAGCTCCTACTACCACTACAAGTGGACAAGGAATGAATCACAGGACCGGGTTTCCGGCCGGGCCGAGTCGGTCCACTCACTGCCGTCGACAGTGACACCGAAATCGGTAATTCCTCGCCGCAGCAGTTGTCTCCAACGCACGTGCGCCGGCGTGGCGTCGTTCTTGCTTTTGAGGTAAGTGAGAGGGGCAGTGTGGTCTTTTCGACCCGGTGGGCCTGGACGACGTCGACATCAGGGAAAGCGACGATTCGAATATAGAATGACGATAATGCCCCGATAAAGCCGGAAAAGTTCCCAAACTGTTCCGCTAAATCGAGGGTGATGTCGACTTTAGAGCGCTACCATCACGGGAGCGAACCGGAATGACTTGGTCCGGCGGCAGACTAACCCGACCGGAATCATCGATGGCAGACGTCTGCCTTTGAGGTGGACGGCGAGAGAGAGCAAGAGGAACAGGGGGATGTCACCTCGAATGGGTTGGGACGTCCGGACCTCGACGGGGTAAGGAAGAAACGGGGGAGGTTTAATCCCGCCTCGTTACCCCTCTCCCCCTCCCCCCCCCCCCATCTGACGGGGGGGTACGGTGCGATCGGTGGATGTGTCGACATTTGGAGATGTGTAGACGGTAGGCGAGGTTTCTGCCGACGGGGCGCTGTAGCAGCAGCTGTTGGTGCATCGCACACCTGAAAAAGAGGACGATCGCTAGAAAACGAACTCCTAAGCTTTGGTTGGCCGAGAGAGGATGTGTCGTCGTCGTCGTCGTCGTCGTCTACTGCGTGGATATGCGCGTGCTGAAGCATTGGCTGTGTCGTGGAAGAGACAGATGGAGTTCAAATCCCCATATGGCGATTGAAGATCAAATTTACATTTTACCTTAAAAAAAAGATATTTTCGTTATCTTAAGATAAAAATTAATTAGGAGATATCATTAGATAAAAGTCTAATAATAAAAAAAATTAGATAAAATACTCCTAAAATTTTATTAGCTCTAGTGGATCAATTTTTTGTTTTTGTTTTCAATATATAAATCTGATTTATTTTTTTAATGTTTAAATTTATTTCGTCTCTTAAATCGGATCGATACAAATTCAATAATCCTCTATATATGACTAGAGGTGATAGGTAAATAAATACTAGAGAAACACATAATATCATTATAACATTAACAAAATCATAAGCTCTAATTATCATTAGTAGATTATATAGAAATTTTTATCACCATAGATCGTAAAAAAATTATATGTTTAGTTAACTTTAAAATATTTTAAAATTTTATTTATAGTTTTTACAAAATCTACCATTCAATTGGCACAAGAATTCAAAATACCACATCAATTAATGGTCCTGCTGATTTGCTTCAGATGTTGCTGCTCTCCAACTAAAGATGAGGTCTCCCACCCCAGTTTATTTAGGTGACTTAATTAGGTGGTAGAATTAGGTCAACCGATGGTGTCATCGTAATACATTCATTCACCTCACCACCAGCTGACGCTGCCGACCACCATTTCCATGACCTGAAGAAGGGTATTAGGTAGGCCATAAATACAGGTAGGTAGGTATTTGACCTATCTTCTTAAGCACAATCCACCCCGGAGTGAATGAACCTAAAAGGACAACCGGACAACAATACCACCACAACAAATAGAATTCTGCAGACCATTAATTCTGTCGTCCGATTCAAGACAGCAGCATTTCAAGCATACCAAATTCCTTCCGGCGATGGTCTAATTTGAAGCATTCGACGACATATTACCTGCTCTCGCTCCGCACGGCACTCTCGGTATGACCCAACACATGTCCTTCGCAATCAATCCAGCCGTGGAGATTGGTGGTCGAACCACTCACGCATTATGTCACAAGCTACTACACGCCGACAAGTCTCAACGAATGTGGGCACGGCGAGGCCCCCATCGGAGTCCAGCACACGGCAGCCACCACGAACACAGCGAAGCCTGCGTGTGGTTCATCAAAGGTAGCAGCAACTGTGTTTGATCGCACTGTCTCACTGGCCTCGACTTGTTTTTGGAGGCACAAGAAACAAAAAGAATCGTAAGCTCCCACTGAGATCCACTAACATCGAAGCAGAATTGGTCCTCAACCTCGCCAAGTCCCACTGCCCATGATTGGTCTTTGTTGCCAAACTCATCCCCCTAAAAAGGCGCACACACACTGATGGTTGAAGAAAGGGATCTCGATCGCACTTGACATCATTTACCATCTCAATCTTGTTTCTTTGGAACTGGGCTCGTGATGAGTCCCATTTATTTCTCATGGAGCTGAATTAGATAGACCCCCTTGCAAGAGTAGATAGACAGTGGCTGGATATACACACAAAAAGAATAGTAGTAATAGAGCACGAGAAAAGTGGTCTTCAGGAGGGATCTCATCAGAGCTGGAAACGGCAACTGGACACTATCACACATACTCCTGGCCGCAAGGCAATTCGTCGAACACTCAAAATGGCTCCCAGTCGAACCTTGCATGTGGAGCGGACGAGGCGGCCGCGGTGGACGTGGAGGTGGATGGCACGAACAGGAGGGAATCGAATGTTTCCCACTTCGTCGTCACCACCACCTGTGGCTGCTCAAGGTTCTGTTGTTGATAGGGCCTCCGTGTTGGCTGCGAATCCCTCTTTTGCTGCTGAATTGGATGTCGCTGATGATTCTGAGGCTGAGTCGGATGTTGCTGCGGCTGCTCTTTGCTAGGTTGGACCTTCGCTCTCGGCATCGCGTTCTTGATCTTGACCGCGTCCAAGGTTTCGACATACTTCTGCACTCTCTTGATCTGTTCTCAGCACAGAATCAATCAGCAACCAATCAAAATGAGCAAACAAACAAAGAGAACGATGGATTTGACCTGCATTCTCCTCTGCAGCTTCACATCCCCGTCGGCAACGACGGCGTCCAACTTGATCAGCTCGTTCATCAAAGACTCGATGAGATTGGTCACATCATGCTCCACCACCCTCCCACCTCTGTTCACGATGGCCTCCAGCGCCGACACCTGATCCAGCCAATGCCCGCGCGGAGCAGCGATCATGTAGAGATTGCTCTTGAGACCAGGACGAGGGAAGGCTGGCCAATTGTGGTGGTGGGTGGGAGATTACCTTGGAGGCGAGGCGATCGACCTCGAGGCTGATGGCGGAGATGGACTTGGTGGCCTTCTCCATCTTGTCGGTCTTGCGCATCTCGAGCAGGCGTTTCGCCTGCGCCGTGGGGTCTTCCTCCAACACCACCTTGGACTTGTCCTTCACGCCGGCGGTGTCGAGGAACGCCGTCGACTCCCTCTCCTTGTCCTTGTACAGCAGCTTCATGTCCAAGGGGTGCAGCCCCGTCTTGGCAGACAACGCCTTCTTCAGCTCCCCTATGAGCCACCGCCGCCGCACAACCACTCGATCAATTCGCCGACCATCTTGGTGTGGAACAAATGAAAACGACGCCCAAGGATCAGTCGGAGTTCTTACCGAAGGTGGCCTGCGAGCTGACGTAGATCTCGTGGTACACGGAGCCGTGCTTGACCTTGACGCGGATGGTGGGCACGGGAGCGGCCGTGGCGTCGGCGTCGGCGCCGCGCTTCTGGACGAGCATCCCGCACGGCCTGACCTCCCACCCCGCTGCCTTCTCCGCAGCCGCCGGCGACTCCTTTATGGGGCTGAACGCCACCGTCCTGCCGCCTGTCTTCGACCGCATTTTCCTCCTTAGATCTTCGGAATCCAGAGGATCTACAAGAGAAGCAAGCAAAGCCACGCCACTGGATTTCACCCCCCAAGCTAGATTTCTTCCAAGACCCGCAAAGGGAAGAAGTCAATCGAGAACATGCCTCGTCGAAGTCAATTAAGCGTGAGCTTAACTCTAGAGGAAGAGACGAAAGGTTTCTTGCTTGCTTGGGTAAGGAGAGGGGATAGTTGAGGAAGGAAGGGAACAACCGAGACAGAAGCGAATCTATATATACCCACATACATGGTAAAGAAGTCAAGAAGTAAGTAAACAATAAGCGGCTCCTCTTTTAGCTTCTCACCTTCCTTCCTTCCCCCACAACATTTACCAAAAGCATCACAGTGATCGAGAGAGAGAGAGGCTGGTGGTGGTGGTGGCAAAGGGAAAAAGTAGGCAAGGCAATAAGAATAAGAATCAAAAAGAAATGCTGCTGCGGCAGCTGTAGGCTTCCCCCACAAGTCAAGCCGCTGCGGCCGCCAGCCCGACCGCTGCGTAACCACTACTGTTCCACGTCGCCAACCCCTCCCACAAACAGAAACGCTCTGCTCCATCCCTCTCCCTCCTTCCTGTGAAACGGCAGCGGCGATCGCGACGACCACGAGGGGCCCGCGCGGCCGGCCGCCCTCTCACCCGGCGTGGGACCCGCGTGTCGGTGAAAATGCTCGGTGAAAATTTAGGGTGACGTCGGGAGGTAGGGTCGGGACGGGGCCCGCGGCCACCGACAGCCCGCGAACCCGACGGCCGCCACGCGGTCCCGGGAGAGCGACGGCGCACCCTACGGCGTCGTGTCACACCACGCCGCGGGGCCCGCCGGGCGTGGTGTGAGGGGTCGACGCATCGTTAGTACGTAAAGGAGTGCCGTAATTTATCTCCCGTGGGTCCACCCGAGTAATCTACGAGTGTACGTATTATTAAGAAGGGGTGGTATCCGTCGGATGAGCAGCGATCCGCGATGAGATTCGCGCCAACGTTGCTGATTCCTTTGAGGAAACATGGAAACTTGGCCCATCGGTAACGTAGGATAATAATTCCATGACAAAACAGGGTTAAATGTGATTCTTTTAAGCTTGCTTTAGTACATGAGTTGAGAAGAGCAAAGTAATGTTGGCTTCACGGGCGGATACCGGGAAGGAATCTTGGTACTTGAGCGATCCAATGACAAGAATAAAAAGGTTGTGTGGCGTGGCTCACGGGTAAGTTGTGATTCTCCCATATCAATAATATATATATATATATATATGATGATGATGATGATGATGATGTTGTATGTACGGTATAGCTAGGGATTATTTGACCTCAAGAAATTTCATAGTTCATTAACATGTCTTTATGGTATTGATTATGTTTTTACAACTTTAAAAGATTGATGGTAACTCCTATTTGTAATTTTTATTTTCTAAAGAGGATAGCCTCTAAAAATATAATTCTTGTTTTAGTTTTAGTCATGACATGTATATTTTATATTTTTATTAAAAAAATAAATGATAGAAATGGGTATTGATAATAAGATCTTACGATGATGACGATATTTCATAAAAAGTATTTCGCACTTGAAATCACTCAACGAAGCAAAAAAAAAAAAAAATCATTGACCAATCTTTTAAAAATAATTTAACATTTGATTCCTACTTGAAACAAATTTTGAAGAAATTTGAGGTTTCAAAACCTCCCTAACAAAGAAGGTAACACTCGAGCAAATACATCACACAAGACATCTATCTCATCACATAAGACTGTTTTGATCCTTTTTTGCAGGTTACAGTAAGCAAGATTTCTTCGTAAATCATGCTTGATTTATGAAGGAAGCATTCTTAAATCTGTCATAGGACTCAACCACATGACCATACTTAATTGTTTTATGTCTTCGTATGGATCAAACCTCAACGGTGTTTGTTTATGGTGAATGAATAAATGAATAAATGAATGAATGATAGCAAGAGACGAGCATATCTTCTTCATACATAAATTAGTTCATATATCTCAATCCTCAGCCATCACTTCCTGCGTGCCACCAAGTCCTGGCATCGTTTGGGAACCAAATCTCAAGTCCTCTAAAACAGCTACTCAGCTGCTACTATTAACTCGGGCGATTTTGCCAGCTAAAATCAATGGGAAGACATTTTGCAGTTAATTAGAAGCTAAAAACTTCTTCTCGTGTTCCAAGGAAAGAGATAAAAAAAAGAAGCGACCCAACCAACGAAGGAATGGATCAGACTCACTGATTCTTTTTTATTAGGCTATGATCAATATTTTATTCAAGAGCCTCACGGAATCATGCACCCAAGGCTGGCTCATCGAGAGCAGATGACACTGTGGTGGCTAAAGTTGGATCATTTGAAATGTCAGCTAAGTTGGTGAGAGGTCCTGCATATATACATATCTCCGGATCCCGATGCTGTCTCATTGATGTCAACCCACCAACTGAAACACAGTGAGGTGTAATGTTTGCTGGCATCGACTTGATGACTTGTGGCATACGAAGACTTCCATCAGGAACTCAACAAACGACGAGTCAAGCGTTGACATCAACCGTGGTTAAGTCACCATTAGAAAAGACCACTTATCGACAACATTAAGCAAGCACATGGGGGTGGGTATGAGTTTAGAAGGCTTAAGTATTCCTAATTGACAGCGTGGTGGTAGCGAATGACACCTAAATGTGAGATAACCGTAACACATTGCCAAGTAAAATATTTGTATATGATTGAGAGGGAGGGATGGATACACGAGACCATGTGAAACAGCGCAAAGCATGAGAAAGATACAAGTCGTAGTATAGATTGACAGGGGATGATGGCGAAGAAGATAAAACAAATAATATGGCTAAGCCAGTGCAAGTTAATGGTTGCTTTAAGATATGCAAAATCTGGATGCGAAAGCTTTAGGTTTTTGATAGGCAAAAGTCATTGTCCAATCAGAAAGCCAAGTGTGATCATCATCATTCCAGTGGCAGAGAATCTAACATCCAATTATATGGCGCAGACAAGTTCCTACTACTTTGATGGAGTCAGACCTACCACGGACAAATATAGTAAAGCACCCACCCCACTGTCAGCAGAGGTACTTCATGGTAGGTGGTCTGGGGACTTCAGCCATCTTTTTTCTTGGTCTATTATAATGAAGTAAATAATAAAAGCACACACCACACTGTCAACAGAGGCACTTCATTGGAATGGAATAGACCAAGAACAAGATTGAATGGGAACCATGTATGTAGGTTGGCTTTTTCCTTGACGAGACCCCTTCAAAAGAGCTGCCCCTCTAAAGTCCACCTAATGAAATAAATGGTAAACAATGGTTTCATCTTCTTCTCACATCCAAAGTGAACTCCTAGTCAATGTTGGCTTTTGAGTTCCTCTCACTTTACGGGGACAAAATGTAAGAAGGGTTGGCAAATTGGCCAGTAGATAAATACCATCAGAAGGTCAACTTCGCCTACATCAATGATTAGCCATAAATCCGACTATCAGACCACATACAGGGTCTTCAAAATGCTCATCTGGTTGAACTCTTTACCAAAACACTCGAAAACCTTTAATTACACTGACCATGAAATGAATTGGGAATTGTTTAAAGTAGCAGAAACCAACAAGGAGAATCTTTTAGCAACAAAAAGATTATTGAGTCGTATTACATGGAAGAACATATAGACAACAAAGGGTCATGCATGTAAATGACAAGCAACAATTGACATGGCTGATGATTAGTAAACAAGCATTGGCATCTGCATAAAGAACTTACTCCATCTACCCAAGTTTCTCTACACATGTATATCCAGTAGCTATCTTCTAATTAGATGATGTAAGATACGATGCAGAAAAAATGGCAGAAAACACTAGCTGTGAGTTCTTTCGGTCTATTCTCCAAATGCAAAGTTTAGGAAGGTCAATGATATGGAATCTTATCCCTATATTAAATATAGAGAGATCATTTTCATAACTCAAAACTCCGGTCGCTTTTATCTACTCTGATATATCTAAAGAAATAATATCCAGAAGCTTTGATCTTTTCATCTATAATACCACAGGATCAAACATGAAATGCAATGGGTTGACTGCTAAACCTAAATTACAGAAGAGAAACAGACAAATGCGCTTTTCTGCTCAATCAACCACAGGGGATAGCATTTCAGCTCTAAAATGATGTCTTTACTCCCGATCGCTTTGCATAAAAATGTTGAACATACCATCAATACAAATTAGCAAATCAAATAATAGGACCCAAGCCAAGAGTGTATAGTTTACATAACACCCAGAAACTAGAAATAAAGAAAGCTAGGAACAAACAAATGGCTTTTACCGGCTTCAAATACAGGAAAAACCCCCAGGAACCAGAAGCTTGAATATTCATTCACCTCTTCTCCCATCACAATAAAATGGACAAGTTTTCTCTTAGTGGGTTTTCTGAGTTTTAGACCTCACAGGCCTAGCTGGTTTAATGATGTAACCGAGCAGGATAACTATGACTGGAACAACAGTGCCAACAAAGTATACACTCCGGTAAGCTGCGAGGGTCTCTTTCATGCTCAGGACCTTCAAAAAAAGGAAATAATTAAATAAATGCCTCTTCTGCAGATGAAAAAAAACCCTATTTCACACCTGCACCATACTAAACGAGCAAATGTAAAGCCTACTTCACAAAGTACTTTCTGTCAAAAAATGTGGAAAAATGGCCCAAGTAACCATTATAAGTAACAGATGGAAAAGGACACTAAGAACTGCCCAAATAAAAAAAAAGATGAGCCTCCAACAATATGTAGAGTGCTGTTTGCAAACCCAAAGCATATCTATATGCACAAAATAGGAAAAGTCTCCTTCAATATCTAACCATGAAGCCAATGCAGGAGTAGTTGAGGACAAGCAGAGTGTAGGCGAAGTTTGTAAACGTCAGCATCTTTCTGAACAAAAAATTCTTCACGTTAACAGCTTGCTGCCATCTGTAGATTACTGTTCAATGGAAAGGAAGGACATAAACAAACGGAAAAGAGAGTCCAAGCAGTTTCATAAATTCATGAATAAATGCAATGCAAGACACAGCTTAGCCTAGACAAAATTATGGTAGAAACTTACCTCGTGAACCTGCAATCATCAATGCTGATTGAACAAAGAATATAATATATCCAGGATACAATCCCTGTTTAAACATGGAGAGAAATTAATGTTACTGAGAAATTCTGTAAGCAATAAACATTTTCTGCTGCAGGTAGTCCCTTACGAATAGAAGTTAATCTAGATCATCTGTTTTCCTAGTTATCTTAAAAGTGTATCTAGTAATGAAAACGTTTATTATGACATCCAAAATGAGCTTTTCAATGATATCTAAAGCAAAACCTTCATGGATCTATAATGCAGAAACACAAATCTCCATCTTCCTGGACTTCCATGGAATTTTTAGATTATATTGAGACAACATTGTGGGAGTAAAGTTCAAGATAAGTTGAAAGATACTCGAAATCATCTCAAAGATTAGATATTAGCCCCAGAAAGAAATACCATGTGAACCATAGAGAACTATATTAATCCTTATTAAGCTAATACTTGCATGCAAACTTGCATAAAAATCAAATATATATTAACAGTCCAAAACTGGAAAAATGAAGTTTACTTTTCCCAGTATATAACACCTCATTATTGCATTCATAATTTTACCAGCAAAAGCTCATGCATAACTCACATGCCAAACGGCGCTAATTGTCTGTGTAGCCAGCAACTGAAAGAATCCAGGTTTCTTCCCTTTCTGAATGAGCCTCTCGTATACATCTGAAACAACATGGCCTCTCAGATTACTTGCTCTACTTAACAAAACATTTCACAGCAGATTGATCGGTACATACTACTGAAATAGAAGAAGCATGGCAAAACCAAGTAGCATTTAGCTAAAGTTTAGAAACTTTAGCATCATGTAATAGTAAAAGAATTGGCATATCATAGATTACTAGTAAACTAGTAATCACCATGACCACCTAATTAAAGTGAAAAAACAAGCATAACCTCAGCCAAATAATTGAGCTCCTTTTACCATTCTTCTCAAAGTTGATAGTTGCATTCGAATTGTTCTACACTTCTATGTGTCCTTAGGAGCTCATCTACTTCATTAATTGTTGTTCAAACTAGGGATTTGAATACCAGTCCGTATCGGCGTACTGAACTCTGCTCGATACGGTACATACTGGTATATACCATCGGTACGCTAGGTTAAAATACCTTCACCTACCACACCAGGGCGTACTGATCGGTGTGCCTTGGTAACGGTTGAAATCCGAGGCGGTACATCTTGGTACCGATCAAAACACTGGTACTATCCGGTAGAGGATGGTCCGCGTACCGGTATCCTCTCGGACCGGTACGTATCGCCTGTACCGAGCGGTACACATCAAAATTGAGAACCCTAGTTCAAACTAAGATTTTTAATTTTGTACCGTACCAATGTACCGAGCTTTACTTGGTATGGTACGATACAGTATACCAAGCGATATATCCTAGCATACCGCTAAGTATATGTATTTTTATATACATATGTATATAAAAATATAAACATATGTTTATATATATATATATATATATATAAACATATATATATATATATATATATACATACATATATACATATACATATATATACATACATATATACATATATATATATATACATACATATATATATATATATATATATATATATATATATATAAACATATATATATGTTTATATACATTTGTTTATAAAAATATCCCCTTTCCATCTCGAGAGATGGAAACGGGGTGATGGTGGAATGGGCGAGAATGCAACGCGTCGTCCACATCCCCAGCTCGAACTCATCCCCCGCGAGGCACTCCGCAATGCTTTCATGACAGCCGGATCCGGTGGGGATCCAGCCCAAGGCGAGCTCATCTCCCGCTCCCCCACCGCTGTCGCCCTCAACAACTGTGAGGAAGAAGACCAAGATGATGGCGAGAGCGAGAAGAGGAAGCAACAGTCCTACCCAGGCTAGGATCCCTTCCTTCGCTGTTGATCGCAACCTCCCTGACCACAGCGGTCACAATCCCTCCGCCCCCACTGCATTTCACCCAACGAAGCGAGGACCCACCCCCTACCACGTTTTGCCCGACATAGTGCTTCTTCATGTCCCACCACATCCAACTCTCTTCTCCGTCATGCCTTCTCTATCCAAAGAGCACCGCAGCCTCGTCTTCCTCACCGTCGTACTCCTCGTTCTGTCCGCCAATTGATACCGCCTGGTAGCAGGCGGTTCGCGTACCAGTCAACTGGTGGACTGGTACATACTACTTGGTACGGGTAATACAATTCGAACGGTGAACAAGTTCAACATGTGATGAATGGAGGTCATAAGGACTAATGTCAAAGCTTCCCTATCACAACTAGGTTGTGTTGTAACATCCACTTCTAGCAAAGCATGCGCACAAGAAAGCAAATATATATGTGCACACATTAATAAACACCAACGGGCTAAAGTGGTCCATATGCAAATTTCATGTCAACCTATATCCAAGAGCCTCTCAGGCAGGAGCAGCAAAGTGCCGCACAATCCACATAAGCAACCACTCTAATAAAGAAATTGGCCAACAAGATATATGCCTATAGAGAAGCACATGCTAACCTTTCTGCTTCTGAATCTAACAATTGAAGACATAATACAAAAACCAAATCCCTCTAAAACCTAAGTTAGGAAACTCACAGTGGCGTAACCAAGTGCTGACTTGGATGTTCCATACAAGAGGCAACTGAACTGCACTAGTTGCAAACTCCACACCAAGAATATCAACATTTTTTGCACGGTCCCATTGTGGCTTGGGAGGAGAGGAATCTGACCGGCCACTGAAACCAAACCCAGATATGATAATCGAAGCTTCTGAGATTGACCAGATAAAGTAGTACTTCCAACGGGCTGTAAATCCAGACATGTACTGGTAGAACAGCCTGTGCCAGAAACCCCATTCATAGTATATGGGTTCGTTGAACCGATAAAGTGGGAAATGTGGTACTAATTGCAAGTACAAGCCCATACATATAGCAGCTTGAAGTAGAGCTCGCAATGTTGCACCAAGAGGTGATGGTAATGGACTGTTAGTGGAAGAAGCCCAAATCTGAACAAAGTCAAAAAATTGTTAGCCAGAGAACATAACCTGGAGGAAAGGCAAACAGTTAATCTGCTTTACAAATGCAAAGGAAAATGACATATGCTGCACATACTCCTTTGTGTTCTGTCCATTCAAGATAATCCTTCATCTCATATACAGGACCCGCAAAGTGACTTCCACAGCAGAGGCAGTAACCAATATATTCAACTAAAGAGGGGCAACGAACTAATCGATTCTTTTTCTGAGCCTCACGTAAGCTTTCTTCCTTCAGTAACCCGTCGCTGTAATTTATTGCACATGATATAACCTTGAGAGTCAGCACCATTAAAGCTCCTACAATGGGAGAAGGGAATTATCTGAGTCACCATTAAAGCAAGTTACACATATTGAATGATGCTACTTCCATGTCTCCAAAACATACACTAATGTTCGATTGTCTGCTACCAAAAAAGTCCTTATGAGTAGGCATTTAAGAGTTGAACTTCCAAAGGTTGCTGACTCGATGAGTACAAAATGTAAAACTTCACAGTTGGATACTTCTAAACCAGACTTCCCAGATGGTAGTAATTAAACTAATAAAGAGTCATCCTAATGCAGTGCAGCGTAGTGCATGTTCCGCAAAGAAATGATATCTTGTTCTAGCAGATGCAATCACCAGGAGTTCATATCTCTGATCTTTGACATAGGTTCATGTTACTAGAAGCCCAAGCAGTGTTAATATGGAAAAATAAGCTTTGCCCTTGCTTATCAGTAAAGCAGAAACACAAATCAAATTCAGGAGGTGAACTATATCTCATGGCTACTAGATACTATCAATGTGACAATAGTGCAACTCTTGTGCTGCCAAGGAAAGATATATGTGGGTTCCTGTGGAACTTCCATGTCCAAGCATCATGACTTGGCTGAAAAGGCCATGACTGTCAACAAAAGCTTTCTCTAGGATACTCATGCTTACATAACTAATTCCTTAATGTTAGGTGAGGCTCGGTCAAGTTTCTCTTAGATTAACTTAATATCTTCCTGAGGTCGTAACAGTATTCAGCAAAAACTAAAAAACACAGGATGAGTCACTTAATGCATGGATACTACAAATCTTAGTTTGTTGCTGCACGTGAAAGGGAATGCCACGTGGCAAGTGCCATATCAACAAGACCCATAGAAGAGTAACAATGCCCCCTACCATTTGTATATGCTGTAAGCTTTCTGTTTTGGCCCAAGATTTCTCAAAAGCATACGTTATGAATCAAAAAGCTCTTTGCTCCACCGTTGAGCATTTTCAAGGGGACATAAGGTTTCAGAAAGATCGAGCTCTACCTTTGAGCTCAGATTTGTTGAACGTTTATCATAGCTAAACATTTTTCCTTTCCTAAAACATAAAAACAGATATTTTGATACATCTGCTTTCAGATTGTTTCTTGACAATAGCTAGATATGCTAAGATGTATCCGTATGCTCTCTTCATCAACATGCAAGAAACAAGGTGTAAGATTGGGGAAATATTCAGAAAATTCATGTTTCACATTTTTCCTTTATTTTATAAAAAAAATCTGAGATAAAAAAAGATAGTCGGTTCAAAAAAGTATTTGCAACAAGCTTGTTTAGTGTGACAGAAAGGACCAAATCTAATTGATGAAAAGTTTCAGAGGAATCAGTTCACTTTGCCTCATATTTTTCTAAAACTAATCTATGAACCCATCATCATAAACCATAAAACTAATTTAGGAAAAGTAACAATTAGTTCAAGAATCTTTGATCACTAACTGATATTGATGTATGCCAGTTGTTTAGGGTTCATATTTGTTAATTATGATGCATGTTTCATGCTAATTTTAACAGTAAACATCTGAAAAATTAGTTACTTCCCCAAAAGTCAAAAGTTAGAGACTCAAGATAAGCTGTTCCTTTCAGGTCTAAGAAATACGCCCAAGCAAATTATTTGCATTTTGTCTGCACAATCTCCTACTTCATGTGAACAAGAAGATGAGATGAGTTCTATTCAGCAGATTTCCCTTAAGCACAAATTAGGAAATCAAATGAAGTCCACTAATATTGACCTGAAAATAGATTTACACAATGCATCTCTTCGGGTCAAAGCTTATAATTAAGAGGCAAGAAAAGAAAACATATAAAACTAAATTTTATTAATGAAATGCTTGATTAACACAAGCCAAACCTCATTACCTGTTGCATCAATCCCTCCTTCCTTCCATGCATCCCCACTCATATAATATACATGGCTACATAGAAATAAGGAAATTAGAAAAGGTTGCCAAGAAGAGAACATGATTAGCAACTTCAAAAGCTAATAGTAAGAACTAAATCAAACGAGTGTTATCATGAATCATCAAAGCAAACAAGCGCACATACGCCAGCATGATGTAGCTACAAGACATGCCTGATCCTACAAATAGAGTGGTAATGCAGAAATTCTTGCTTCGGATCAATGTATTCATAATACTAGTAGGACATACACACTAATCATGCAGGGAACAGAGAAAGAGATTTAATTATTAAGAAGGTTCTTCAAAGTCGAAGAAGAATCTCGAAGGCAGTTGCAGTTGCAGGTCTATGAAGGTTCCTTAGGACCTAAATTATAAACAGGCTCCCCAATAACGTTGAAAATTCATCCAAGAGTAGCTCCACCGAGTGGAACGCTTAGAGGAGCTCCCATGTTATCGCTTCCTTTCCTCTCATCGGCCCATCTGTAGCACTTATAGTTACAACCCTAACTCGATTATTTTCTAATAATTGTTATACATCACAAATCACATTAAAATCCATAGAACTGTAAGAACAAGAGGTTTTGACAAGTATGTTAAGTTCTAGTGCGAGAAATGAGTGTCACCATAACTATTGCTTTGACTCACAAGTGATTATAAAGACATTCAAATATAGTATGATGGTCTACCAAAAGCAGAATAGAATTCTGTTACAGTGTTTTCCACTTTTTATTGAAATAAAAATAAAATTTCTAGTTTCTGTTGTCTTTACAAAACCTCCACTCAAAATTCTCTTGACTGAATCAAGTCAAAATTTAAGTGCTGATGAGTCAAAATTCCGAAATAGTGCATCTAATTCTGAACACGACTTCAATGGCATAATTAACAACCCTTCTTTGACTAAGTTCTTAAGCTACTTTACTGCCAACCATCCCATAAATTCTTTCAGCATCAGCAAATAATTCTTTTGATACTCTTTTAATGTCCATCCACCCTCGTTGACTACTTCTTGGCCCCATTTGTTCTTTGGCAGTCTTGCTTTGGATGATTTGGATGGTAAGTTATTGTTTAACCTATATTTTGCATGAACCTAATTTTGTTATACACGCAATCTCCAAATCTATACCTCTTCATAACTTGAATATGGACAGCGTTAATTATCTTGGTTGTCATATTAGCTCTGAAATAACATTGGATGGAAATTATAGGCTCAAATTTATTATCCTACCCGTCTTTAAACGCTATAATGCTGACACTCAGCATTAAATAAAGCAAGAACTGAATTTGGTAGAAATGAGCGTCTTTGTTAGACCCAGCATGGCACTTGGTTTGCTCACACCAAAAGTAGAAAGATACTACTGCACATCACGAATTTTTTCACACCACAACCGAGACCAAATAAAGGAATTATCTCTCGCGAAATCAAAACACCCTAATCTTCCCAGTCATTAGGATTTCTACAAGAACCTAAATAAACCACCAGATCCAATGTGATATAACAAAATTAAGCTCGAATTGAGCATCAATCGGAGCAGGATCGTACCATCCGATGAGATAACCGAAGCCAGCGAAGAAGGTAATAGCGCCGGCGTAGCGGCGGATGAAGAGCATGGAGGCGTAGCTCACGGACATGGGGATCAGGAAGTGGAGGTTGGAGGAGGCGCCGAAAGAGAGGTAGGAGAGGACCGCCCCCGAGACGGCGGCGTAGAGGTGTCGCGGTAGCGTCCCGGGGACCAGCCGCCACGCGAGGCTCACGGGAATCGTGGCCACGAAGCAGAAGAGGAAGCGGAGGACGGGGACGGAGACCCCGATCGCCGCCGCCATCGACGCCATCTCCATCGCCATGGGAGCGAGCGATCGAGCGCAAGAAAGGAGGAGAAGAAGGGTTTCGCCTCTTGACCGCACGACGGAGATATCAAATCCTATTTATATTAACTTGCACCGATGGGAACGATCAGAGATTAGCCTGATTCGATTCAACTGCGCGGGGCCCACATGGGTTGTATCGGAGTTCGCTCCTCGTAAGTTCCCCTCCTCGCAGTCCGTTAGTGGCTGGTTTTAATGGGTTCGCGTGGGGGTCGGAGGCAAGAGGGGTGAGTAAAAGCTCGAGATCGACGGGTTTTACGGACGGGAGCTCCGACTCTCTGACACATCCTGCGTCGACTCGACGTAACTATCCCTGCGAACCTACCCACCAATGGCGAGTCGCCGAAAGTTAACTCTGACAAGTCTCTGCACGACGTACACCGGGCCTGCAATTGGGTACGCCCGTGGGTATGGGTCCAGAGACAGGACGCCATTTGAGGCGCTCTCAGAACCTCGTGGGGGAGGAGTGGCGGGGTGCCACGAGACACGTGAGGGTCCGATATCAACCGCTCGATAATGTTGCCTCGAGTATATCGACATAGCGGTACCTTTAAAATGAGTGGTAATAAATGGCTCCCAAATGGAATCGACGGCTCTTAAATGGTTTGCCGGTTCTGCATCCAGGTTGGTGGACAACGGGTCCCACTAGTGATAGGACTCGCTTAAATTGATATTAAAATATTAATATTTAAATTGGGACGATTTGAATACTTTTTTGTTAGTCATTGATTTGATTGGAATTAAAATACAGTAAAATTCACATGTGTTCTATTTGTGGCTTGTGTTATTAGCTGAGATAGAGAAAACGAGAAGCAATGATCTCTATTACACCAAAATACATTCCCAATGGATGTTTTCTTTTTTTCTATGTTCATTTTATAGACAAAAAGGAAGAAGAAATACATTAGAAGGGGGAAAAGAAAAAAAACCTCACCCTTGGCATTACATGAGGAATAAATAATATGTACATCCACAAGGCTGTGACAGCAAAATACTACTCATAACTCGCTCATCAGTATAAGCTAAAAGAGATGATAGGATGCAATTGCTGGCCTAAAGCCTTTGGGCCAAATGGAAACAGAGTCAACGCAGAGGCCCCCTTTTGTGTGTGTGCAGTCGATCTGTATCATTGAGAACTTAATTTTGATTGGTGCACTGGAGCTCCTGATAGCAAAATCTCCTACGTGGTAATGGAGCCAACTTCCTGGTTCGTCTAGATAACACTTGGATTGAGCAAGTTGACCATCCGACGTTGATAGTTGAAATCTTACTGGCTTCTTGTCCCATCCATGTATGTGCTCGGGGCTACAGACGCGGCGGCCAAGTCGTCTAATGGCTCTACCTAAATGAAGTCGAAAAAATAGGCTGTATATACCTTCTGGAAAGCAGAATTCTACTTCCCCACGTACCTCAAGCCACCATATTTGATGAAGGTATGCAACCATGTGAAACCTACAAGGTAACGAGCTTCATGTCAGTTTACTTTGTACAAATCACAAAATTCTTTTAGGATGAATGAGAATCAAAACTACAGAACAGTGCACGGTTGCAGCTGCCGTTGTTCATCATTCTATAATGACAAATAGCATGGGCTGAATTGTCGACGAATAAATCTGGATTTCTGGTCTACAGTACCTTTGCTCAGTATTCCAGTTAAGTGTTTCAATTGGTAAAGCAAGGTATTAATTAGATGGCACCCAGCATAATAATGCGATCCAATATTCTGAGAGACAATGATGACTGGAAATCCTTCCAAGTATCATCAGTCAGTCTCCCAAAATGTTAAATCGTCTTGAAATAGGTACACTTCAGTAAAGAAAATGCTAATAATGCATACGGGAATCACCAAAGGAAAGAAATATCACTACATAACAATCTACAAACCCAGCAGTCACAGTATATATTTGTTGTTCATTCTACGGAAGGATGTCCTCATATAAAATCTAAATTTTATGAAAGCAAAGATACACTTAAAGAGCCTTAAGGTGGGATACGATGTTGAAGAGCTAAGAAATAATAATGTTTACGTCATGATATGGTGCGGGATGGAGATGCACCACACACTGGTTATGTGCATCCGGCAACTAGAGTTACTTGGTTTGTCCTTCTATGTAACAGTAGATGTTGATCCACTTAACGAGGCTGTCTTTTACGTCAAGTAAGATACTTTGGAATTACTAGTCATTCATTACGACATAAAGATGCCAGAGAGGAAGTTTAAATAACATGATCTACAAATTCAATGGAATAAATTTGCAGTATAGAAGCAAAACTAAAGCTGGGAACATGAGAATGTTCGCATCATGATATGGTGCAGGAAGGAGATGCACCACACATTGGTTATGTGTACCTGGCAGCTAGCGTTAATTGGTTTGTTCTTTTATGTAACAGTAGATGTTGAACCAATTAACTAGGCTGTCTTTTACGTCAAGTAAGATACTTTGGTATTACTAGCCATTCATTCCAACATAAAGATGCCAGAGAGGTAGTTCAAATAACATGATCCACAAATTCAATGGAATAAATATGCAGTACTGAAGCAAAACTAAAGCTGGAAACACGAGAAGTGAGTAGTGTGGAATGGGAGAAGATACAGTAACCGAGTGGTCAAGCTGTCACCACAGTAACATACTTGATAGTTCTGTATAGATGTTGTATAAGCTGATAATGACATTATGCAGCAACAACCTATTAAGCCAATCCAAGTAGACAAGCAATCCAACCCTACCGCAAAATTTATAATCGAGTGGTCAGGCTTTGTACCAACCCTTACAGTCAAACAATCCAACCACAAGTTTTCATATAATTCAACCCTACCGCAAAATTATGACATAGATACAAGCATATTAAAAGAGAACACTAACGATACAACTTAACTCAAGGTAGCACATGTACTTAAGCTCACAATGTAAGATCGACAAGCACGAGCTAGATCGTACTTCAAAGTAAGTAAAATCACATATTTCTCAGACGTATGTTAACAAATATTAACTTTCTGAAGTAAAGCAGAGCCTTAAATATTCTGATTAATGGTTATGGTAATCAAAGCAGAAACTTAACCAGAGACGATAACAACATGACATATTTAAGCATCGAAAACTAGGGAAGGCATTTACCTAGATTCAGCAGTAGGTATAAAGTTCCAGTATCTCCTATCGTCGATCCCCGTTATTGACATTGCCTTTGAAGAAATCGACATACAAATCAAACATCGGCTTTTCTCCAGGCAAAATTCCTACACGATTCACCCAAAATAAAGAAGTTCCATCTATATAAGAAAAACAGCCACCAAATCAGAAAACTGATAATTGAGTTATAAAATTTATCATCAAATCAGTTAACTTTCATTTACTTCTGAAATGAGCACCTTTGCATACGACAAGCGAATAGAAGCCAAATACCCCAAATCCAAAAGATATGGGATGTCGTAATTAGCTTATTTCAACAACAAAAAATCCCCTCTTTTTTTGTTTCCCTTACTCTTTTACTTCGTTGAACTACAAGATGCGGATGAATTAAGTCGAATGATGAAAAGGAGAGAAGATTCTGCACCCATACCATGTATGCCCCATTAAAGGGATTGCGACGACAAAGCAGTGCAAAGATCTGCTTCTTGCTAAGCTTTTGCCCGTCGGAATTATCCTCGCCCAACGCCTTCCCCAACAAATACATATAATTCCCGGGCAACTTCGCCTCCCAGACGACGTCAGAAGACGCCGCAGCCCGGAAGGTGTGACAAAGCCGAGCCAGCCGGCAGATTTCCGGCGGGTCAAGCCGTAGCAGGATCCCCGCCACGCAGCTCTCCGGCAGGTCCCCGAGCCCCGTCCGGCCGCTTGCCCTCTCCAGCCCCGCGGCGCTCGAGTTCCCGTTCCCCATGGAAGACGCCAACCCCAGCCGCCAATCCAAATCCCCACCGGAGACGTCCGCTCGAAAAGGAGCGATCTTGATCTTGACGGGGGCCTAATTGGGGCGGCACCGGTAGAGGGTGAGGGATTTGGAGGAGAGGAGGAGGGCGACGCCGGATCGCTTCGCGGAAGGCGGCAGATTCAGGAGGAGGAGGAGACGAAGCCCACCATCCATTCCAATTCGCGCGAGCTCGCCGGCTTCCCCGTTTGGCTTCTGGACGCAGCAGCTCGTTCTTGTGGATGCTTCTGTTGCGACCCTCTCTACGGTCTATTTATTGGACACTGAAAATAAATAAAATAAGTCATTTTTCACATAATTACGAAAAAACGTTGCAACATAACGTAACATTCTCGTGAGCTAATAATAATTGCAATGCATTGGAACGTCTCCTCCACATATCCAAAATATTCATCAACATATCATGTTGCTGACTAGATCATGCCTAAGATGTCCGTCAATATGCTACCTAACTTAAGTGAATTATTAGGATTCATGTTCATTACTAGGTTGGAGACAATAATACCTTATACACTCACTCAATTACACACAATTTATTGTATATAGCTAAGCAAACTAATATTAATCTCTAAAAAATATTGATCAAATGATAACTTTTGTGTCATTTCATAGACACAAAAAAGAAAAACATAGATATCATTCGACCTACTTAATATTCCTTCGTTTGGGGGCTCGCACAAAGTAGTGTGGTCCTCGCGGGGCTCACAGCTGACGACCAATGGGATACCTCCCTGTTTGCCCGCTGAGGACAAGAGACAACAATTCCAAAGGTTGCCTACTCATGTGAATCAAAAGAAGCAACTTTAGAGTTCAGGGAGACAGCTTACCAAGCGCATCCTGTGCCAAGCGATAAGAATTCCAGGGGGCTTAGGTTGACACTAAAGAATGCATGCTTAAAACACTGGGATCATTTGGGTAACCTTTCACATCCACATCATTTGTATCGACTAAGAAGCATCATGAACTGCAATGGAATCTGCCTCGTCGAGTGATTGGATGTGGATGAGAAGAGACCGGGCTGCTCGATGAGTAGCCATCAATATGCTTCTTTCCAGGTCAAAGCCCTGATTGATTGAAGCTTCTTCACGGACGTGTTTTGCAAGCCATGCTTGGTGAGGTTTTGAGCACATAACGGAACGGTGATTGATGGGGAGAGGCGGCAACTTGCAGGTACATGTTGGAGGCTGCATTTGGTGAGCTGGCCTTCCGTTCTTCTTGTGCTTCATGCTGGAGACTTATCCCTCCGAGGCACAAGATTTATATCAGTATTATTATTTTCATGCATGTAGATATTGTAGCTATTTTATGGTGTCCATCCATCATCCGGTTCTCTTTCAGAAGAAGCTGGAGATGAGGGTTTAACGATGCCGCCGTTTCTATGATGTCATAATGCTCATGGTGACAGTGCCACTCGAAGAAGAAGAAGCCTTCTATATTCCTGGTGTTGATGAGCTTAACATCGATTACCATAAAACTTTCTCTCAAGTTGGATTCTTACGACATAACAAGAAAATATAGAGATGAGATTAAGCCTCTCCTTCTCCCTGATATCATCTCAATACTTTCTCCCCTCGAAAAACAAAAGGCTGTTTGGTTACTCACATGCAATAATCGATCTTAGAGAGAGAGAGAGAGAGAGAGAAAGAGAATATATATATATATATACACACACATATATTTTGCAATCCTGCAGATTGATTGAAAGGTGTTTGTATCAAAAATCCAAAGTTTTGGTTCTTCTCGGCTAGTTTGTTGCCACAAAGCAGCAGGTTGGTTGATGCATCACAGACGCATCATGTGGATGGAGCTGGCAACACATTGGAACTTTCTTAGGTTTCTTTCCTTTTTCTTGGGCATCTCTCCCTCATCTTTCCTGCACACGTCCATCCGCAGGCCTCACCAGCTATCATATCATTAGATCTAAAAGAGCACCTCTAGATACCTGGAAAGGGGACGCCCACAAGAACATGTAAGCAAAGAATCCAGACCCCGAGTGCGTGGATCTGAGTCATTAAAGACACAGATCCTGCCTACCCATCTGTTCTTGCGGCCAGTGATGAACAAAGCAACAAAAGAGACGAAAAAAAGGGGCGGAAAACTAAGGCAATTTGGCCGTCTCAACGCTGTGATTGGTTGAGAGAGCAAACACGCCAAGAATCGTATGCATTATTAAGCATACTACTGACCAGTTGACCAAGCCTTGGATCCTGCAACTACAACAGTCGGTGATGAGAAATGGACGGCAGGAAGTTGGCGCTAAAAGCGAAAACTCATCACTAGAAGCTTTCAGGTAATGTAATGATAACATGTTTTGGATCAATGAACTTCTATTTCACCATCAAAGCATTTGATGAAGAATGTGCTTCATATCTCTCTTCTCGCTAATTCCATGGAAAAACTTCTTGTACAATCAGTTTTTACCTCCTCCAATCACTAGATCAAGATGCTAATTTGTTTTGTGGTTTATAACATCTGGACTCCCATTCTTCTGCTTCCTTGTTATTTAGATTTCTTTTTTATCTTTCAAATTTTTAAAAATCTATAATAATTAATGATAAAGAGTATACTATCAATTAATTATTATTCGACATATTATCATCATATAGAGTCCTCGGTGGGAGAAAAAAAAAATAAATCAAGACAATCTTTCCTTTATAACCAAGTATAAAAATATATCCTCAACACAACTAAAGAGAGGGAATCTTTTTTTGACCACTCGGATCCATAGTTATACATATCGAGTTTCTAACTTTGGCGCTAGAAGAATTAGGTCAAGAACCTTTTTCTGACCACTCAGATCCATATTTATATATCTTGGGTTTCTAATTTAGATATCGAAGAGATCAAATCAAAAAACCTCTCTTAACCTCAATATTCATGCCGATGACACCTCGGGAGCTTAGTGTTATCATCTCGAAAACATCTTTAATAATCATACGTATACAGGTCAGGACCATGTCGGATTGACCAAGACTTCAATAATTTATTTTTTTTAATAATTAATTAATAATAAAATTAAAAAAATAATTAACTATTAAAATAAACTAAATTACAATGGTCTGCTCAAGAATCTTAATCCACCTTTCATAGCTTCGATTAGTCTATGAATGCAATAAGAAAACCTGAAGATCTGAAGATCTGAACTTTTTGGACATGGTGCAGCTGGTCAATCCGATTGGATTATCGATCGTTAAAATAGAAAATCTTCCGATCAAACACAAATTCGTAGGTTGTTTAGCGTTCACGCGGGTCCATCTTCTTGTGCCAAGCCAAGCTAGAGAATTCCATGTCAATTCCAAGCATCTTTTGGTTACATGAAACCAGACTCTTGATTGTCTTCAAGAACTGGCCCATTATCTTCTGTCAAACAGCAATCTGTACTCGACAATTTTGAGATGGAAACACTTATCGTATCACCTAAATCAAAAGTAGAGACATGAAGATCTAATTCCATTAGAATAAGAAGGTGAACGCCAACGAAAAAGCCAATTAGTGTCAATCAGAGACCCCACGGATAAGATGAAACTTGGGTTTGCAAATGGTACAAGCAGCCTGAAACACTTTGACGTGTATGATAACACAAGTAAAAGACACCAAGATCTCACGAAGAAGCTTCTGCTAACACTCTTGTCCTTGGACCTTTAACATCTGTCCAAAGTGGACGGCACTTTTCCGAGAGCTTCATTGTATCCAACTAGCTCTCTACCTCTGGATTTTCTCATGATTGCTTCCGAGGCGGCATCTACACAAAGGAGCTGCAATTCCGAGTAGAAGTCTTTTCCAGTTAGGCTACTTATTACACGCCTGACATTAAGTGCGTGCAGACATGTCTAGAATCTGCAAGAGTTCAGCTTGTACAATAAAGCTATCTAATCATGTAGGGTGGCCATTATCTGCAAATGCCATGATATGTTTGGCCTTACATCACACTTGAATTTGTATTCTCTCTTTAGAAATATGTGGATCGTAGGGAAGAGATTGGTGAAAAGTTCTACATCTTGTTCTACATCTTTTCTGGACGATTTCTTCAACTGTATAGCAGATGAGATTTTCTCAACTCATAAGATAATCTCTTTGTTCAGTTAAAATTTTTTTATCTTTCAACATATATAAATAGACTTCATACGATACTAATTAAAATATACTTTTCTTTATTATCTTATTTCTTCACCTAGATTATTTAATGAAAGAAATCAGATCTTGTGCGTAGAGTTGCACTGTATTATCAGTAATAGATGTATAGAAACTGATTATTCTTGTTGCGTGTTAGGAAAGAACAATCAAACGAAATCAATAGTGATAGAATCCTTTCGCTTTGTCAATGATGTCCTCACTTAAGATCGAAATAAATTGAAGAAACACATGCAAAAGCATACAGGCGAGAAGTAAGGAAATCGCCAGGGTTTGCGTCTTTAACTAGGTTGTGAAGGAAAACGTGATCTCTCCTATAGGAAGAGGCACAATCACAGCAGTTGTACTGTTTAATGGACGCATATGCATGTCCGGTCCAGGCACCTATACCGGCAAGAATGAGCATGGGGATCCATTCTAAGAGGGCTCCTCCTCTGCCTGAAGGGAGGAGACGCTGCTTATGTTCAGAACGTGCTTAAGGAATGTAGCAAAACAAAAGCATGAATCTGAAGAACTTCGGGCAACTCAGCTACGCAATTGATCCGGTACAATTTGACAGCATACCATAGCCACAACAACACCAATGTGGCAAATCATGTAGGACCGTATAAGAGATATCGTCAGGTACGAAGTTATCTCGGAAGGTTCGAAATAGTACCGTCTAGTACAGAGCTACCCTGGAATGATCAGGATGGCGTCACTCGAGGACGATCTGCACATGTTGACCGGAATGGCACCGTCGAGTACAGAGCCGCCCTGGAATGATCGAGACGACGCCACTCGGGGACGATCCACACACGTCGATCGGAACGACATCATCAAGCATAAAGGAATGGGTTAGCCGCTTAAGGGGTCGACGATCATTAACATATGGGGTACGGTCGATTCCCGTGTGTAGGTATAAAAGCTCGTCACTTGGTCAGTATCAAAGGGACTTCGAACACTCAATTTTTTCTCATTTCATCAAAAACTAACTTAAGCTTCAGATGTGTCGAGTCGGAAAATTCTTCTCCTGACCTCGACCTGTGTGCAAGGATTGACGACAAAAAAACAAATGACAAGGCCCGTAGCTCAACCCGACCACGCACTTTCGCTCCCCTGGTCGTAAAGGTTCACTCAACAGCAATCTAAAAGCAAAATAGTTAAAAGGATTAACAGCTAACCTATTCTAATTAAAAAGGATTTCAGTGACATGCATATATGTTCATTTTATACGTTCTGGAAAAACCTGTAGATTAAATGCAAACAGCAACATATCTTATGTCGAGTGCTGGGATAGAGAGAGGGGGATTCTGCTTATTACTAACATATTGCTTTAGCATCAGTTTTGATATGGGAATTACAACCTGTACGCCACCTCTGGTCAACACGTGGCTGACATATGGCTGACATGTGGTCGACACGCATCATAAGAGTGGCATATGGCCAACACATAGGCAACACGTGGCTGATTGCATGACAAACCAACTACCTTCACCTCTGGGATTCAACCCGTCATGAGACCATAACCATAATTAAGCCTAAGATTAGTGTATAGCTACTCCCATTATAAAAAGAGCTCACTAAGTACATTTTCCATAGATTAAAATTCTTTTCATGAGTTCATCTGAACTATTTAAACCTTAAGCTAACTAAAACATCGGAGCGACATTAGTCAGAAATATTCCTGACTTAGTTTTATATAGTCGACATCTTCAAAGGTGGATGGATTTTGCTTTGACTAAGATTGAATTAAGACTTGACACGAAAAGAAACCTCAGTTGATTTCGAAATAACTCTTAGTTTAGACAAATATGTGAGTTCATCTAAAGCAAATAATCTTTTGTGCTCGTGCTAAAGATGACTTATCAAGCTTCATAATTATTTACTTACTAATCATGGGTGCTATTCATGCTACTGTAATATTGCTACAGTGCCAAAAGAAAATAGAGGCACCTTCGGATTCGTCAAACCAACTTTACATAAGGAAATGTCGGCTTGGATTTAGGAGATAGTGCATCCAAGCGAAGGCTGCATCGGCCTCGTGCAACATTCTCATTTGCACATTCTCCGATCCAACAAACACACTTTAGCACTGTAGACTGCAATAGAAGAAATGCTCGCTGATCGACAAAATCTAAATTTTGAATGCCTTCCAGAATTCCATAAGGGAAAAAAGTGATGCAAATGATGATTTGAAGTATGATATGGACAAACACAATAAGAACAAGCAAAGCCACAGCACTAAAAAGAGAAAAAGGTTAGCATATTTTACAAGCATAATCAATTGTCATCTTTGCTCGGCCTCGATGAGTATAAGAATCTAGAAAAAAAAAATTTATTACTAAAGGGCATACTTAGTATATATATATGAGGTTCCCGTCAATACGGATACGGAGTCGGTGGAGTGTCAATGTGCATAATCTTATTTTTAAATATAAAAAATATCTTCATAACTCAAACTCCTGATAAAAAATAATATTGTCGTTACACCAAGACCTACCCTCAAAGGAGTGACGATT